GAACACAAATCTCACGGTCTGTCAACTTTGATTGAAGTGGATTCGAATCCGGATCGTCAAGATGCACCCTCCAATGTTGTTTCTAAGCTAAATCTACTCAAGAATGTGTTTGATGAAGTTGGGGTAAAAAGTTCCCAAACAACATCCTTAAAAAATGCTGAAAATGACTTAAATAGACAAAAATGGGTTTCCGTGTTCGCCTAGCGAAGTCCCGTTCGCACAGCGAACTTATGCCTCTTTCGCTACTGCCAAAATAGTATTTTTCACGTTTTTTAGAACTTTTTGTTCGCCTAGCGAACATGACAGCAAAACCAGCCCTTATTTTGACCATAACTTTTAAACTGTAACTCTGTTTTACGTGTGGTCGGAAGTGTTGGAAAGCTTATTCAATGATCTATAAGAAAATGATATAATATCATTGCTTATATACCTACAAAAATGAGAGAAAAACAATTAAACTCAATGATATTTACGCGATACACAATATATATACACTATAATGTAAACTATACAACATATGCACAAAAGTTAAGGTTTATTGGTTGAATTAAGCCAATAAGTGCCAAATATTTACAATCAAAATCAGTACATTTTAGCACTTATCACTAATTTGGATCTTGACTTGTATACAACAAACTTGCCAAACTCTTCCACGTAATCTTTACTCGAATAGGTTTCTTGAATCTTCCAATAACACTAATTTTGCTCTAAGACTTCGTGTGTAGAAATCAACCCCTTGATCCTATCGATTCCTTGAGCGGTGAAATTTTCCAAATATCTGAGGAGAACTCCGTCTTATCTGTAGCCTTCCACACATTCACTACTAAGGCAATTCTGGAGAGAAGAACATACTTCTTTTCAATTTAATTTGTCACTACCATTGAAAATCCCTCAATCTTGCTAACAACCTGAAAAACTCAACAAGATCTCTAAGAACTGTTAGTTTCAAGTAGGCGCTTCTTTCAATCAGTCTCAGAACTCTCATTATCAAGATCTAAACTCAATTGAAGTTGAAGATGCAAGAGTTTCATAGCAAAACTTTGAACACTCAAAACAGAGGAAATTGATTTTCACTAAAAATCACACTGAAAAATATGATCAGAATGAAAGATTCAAGTGTAAGATATGAAGACAAAAAGAATTTATATGTGCTTAAGATTAAGCACACAAAAATATAAAGAAAGGTAGTTAGATTCAAATCAGGAGAAAAATATGATTTGAATCAAATGAGAAAATGAAGTGGAATAAAAGAAATAACTGATTTTTGAAAAAATTTCCAGTTGATTCGGATCAGACAAAGCGTGATTTAAATCAAATGCCACGTGATTTGAATCTAATCAAATATTGATTTGAGTTAAATTAAACAGAATCTGTCACCAGGAAAATGATAAGATTCAAGTGCACAATTTGATTCGATTCAAATGCTTTTGTTCCACTTCTGTCCAATTAGATCAGGATAAAAAAATTTAGTGTAAACCTGAATGATTCGAATCAATCTTGTAAAATCTCAAATTTTCAAATTTTACTTTGATTCAAACTTTGACCAAAACATAAAAGAACTTCCTTCCACCAATATACGCTATTGGTCAAAGAACATTTTGATTAAGATCAAATTTAACCAAAGTTTTATGCATGCTAAAAACAAATAATTTCAAACTCGGTTTCGAGAAGTGCAGTCATGAAGGAAACTCCACGAATCAAAATAAAATGAAAGCGGTAAGACATGCAACAAAATAACCGGATATAGAAGCTCCCTTGAGTGAAGTAGGGACATGCAACTACAATCTCCCCCTTTTTGATGCTTGACAAGCTTTTGGAATTGAGCTAACCTTTGAGTATAACGCATACGTTCCCACTAAAACATTGCACACAAACTATTCACAGCATAAAAAAACGCATAAAGCAATTCTAGATCATGACAACTTCTCGCCCTTTGACTACATAAAAAAAAGATAGTTTGAAATGTATATAAAACTAAGAAAACAACCACTAACAGATAATCCCAGAGAAAATAAGAGCTAAAGAGCCAAGAATCATATAGAACAACAATGATCTCATATTCAACGAAGATAGACATGTCACAAGCAACACAATGCAAATAGACATGCAACCCAACATTCAACCTCTAACAATTAAGTGATCGAACTTGTTAATCAAGGTATACATTAACATTCATAAATAATACACGAACAAGTAATCAAAAGTTCTAATGCACATAATTAGAAACACTTATTTAAAATACTTAAATGCAAGTTGGAACAATTAAAGACATAAAGTAGAGGTGAATGAGTGAGATATTTAGGAAATAAGCAAACCAATGTATAACTCTAACACAAATACATAGAAAGATACAAGGGTTATAAAGACATAACATTGTAGTTTGGTAAGAGCTACGATTTACTACTAAATAGTGTTAGTGCAATTAAAGTATATATGTATCAAATGAAACTAAAAACCAAATCCACTTTCTATTTAAGGCATAAGGAGTCTAAGACTCCAAAATCCCTACAAATCTTGTGGAAGGTTCCGATGATAATGGTTTTGTAAAAATGTCAGCAAGTTAACTTTTAATGTCAGCGTACTCAAAAATAACATCTCCTTTTTCCACATGATCTCTTAGGAAATGGTGTCGGATCTCAATGTGTTTAGTTTGTGAGTGTAGTACTGGATTCTTAGTAAGACTTATAACATTAGTATTATCGCACTTAATCAGAATGCAACCAAGTTTTAAGTCGTAGTTCAATAATTATTGCTTAAGCCATAGGACTTGTGCACAACAACTACCAACGGCTACATATTCAGGCTCGGCAGTAGAAAGAGCAGCATTATGTTGCTTCTTACTAACTATGCAAAGAGACTAAGCAGCTTCCAAATAAGTGTCAGGTACCACTAGTACTTTTCCTATCTGACTTGCATTCGCGGAATCGAATTCAAAATAGCCTACTAAGCTATAAGCATTTCCATTAGGATACCAAAGACCGTGATTAAAGGATCCGTTAAGATAACTCCAAATACGTATAATAATCTTCATTTAAATCCAAATTAAACCCAACCCTTCTTTCAAATAAATCACCTAATCATATTGTTAAATCAATAACAATAAAATCTATAACAAATATTTTGTAAATCACACTCCAAAATGCAACATTTTGTCGCCTGTTACACAAGGCTCAGATGTTGTACCGTCATGCTGGAGCATCACTCCCAACATGTGTCTTTTCTGCAACTTCATACATCTTTAGCAAGTTAGACCCATCTTGAATACTTATACACTTCTCCAAGTTGTTGTTTTGCTAAAATATAGTCAATCCAATATGAACAACATGCAACCCAAAGTCCAAGCTCTTAATCATAATTTTTCTATACCATATTCCAATTGATTGCTTGACCATGCAAATTAGGATAAATTTGTGGTTAAAGAGTGAAGATTAAATGAAAGCAATGAAGAAGAATTTGGAGTACTTATCACTCTTGCCACGAGGTGGGTTAAACTGAACTCTATTGGTCTTCTCCAAAGTTGCCATTAAGAAAGGAAGGAGAAAGTGTGGGTGTTCATGGGTGCGAGTCGACCTACAAACCCGAAGACTCAAACCGAACCAACCCATAAGTTACTAAACATGTTCATTAACAGGTATTCCTACCCTAACCAGCAACAATATGGATCGAGTATCTAGTTTGAGTTTCTCAACCCGTAGACCCATTGATATGAAATTAGTGATTTCTTACCTTTTTATTATTAATTTAAATGAAAATATAAAATTAATATATTATTACAAACCACTATTTTGTCAAAAAAAAAATCTATTTATCACCAATACTATTATTAGACCAATGAGTATACGTAATTTTAAGATTAGGTGTTGTTTCTTGTTTATTTTATGTATCATTTCCAACTTATTTATTTTATAGAATGATGTGTTTTGTAGAATTTTCTACTATTATTAAGTGTTAAGGCATATGAATGAATTTTAATAGAAATTATATGATTTATTTTATCCAATTCGAGTGTTACAAACGTGTGTAATTTGAATTGTGTTATAATTTTTTATAATTGAAAAAAAATATCTTTATTTGAACACAACCCGCAAGTCAAATCCAACCCAAATTTAAAAATGACCCGATCAGTTTGTGTCGATTTTGACCGTAAAATTGCGGGTTAAACTATAAACTCAACTCATTAAAAATTTGAACGAGTTAAATAACTGATTAGAACAAATCTGATTCAACCCAACCCATGTTCACAAGTAAAAGAGAGTGCGAACTTAGAGATTTTTTGTTTTTTCATCCAAAAGTTTGGAGAGTTTTCCTTTTGCTTTTTTTTCTTCTCTCAAATGGGAGATGAATTTTGACTTTGGTTATCAAACCACCTATGTATACATATCCAATTTGTTAAAGTCAAAATATTAAAATGCCATTCAATTATTTAATGATTTTGGATTAGAGGCTTAAATCTTTGTTTTAATCATATTTAAGACTTGACTTTATATATAATATGGAATTATTAAAAATTGACCAAAATACCTTAGGTTACAAAATTACCCATCTTGGTCCTATAACTTCATTTTCCTTTTTACTTATAAATGATATTTTGGTTTGAAAATTAAATTGTGGATAATGGACTTTGCCAAATATAGTCAAGAGGAAGCAAGGTGGAAATTGTGCCTATAGTGTGTCATGGCTGTGCTGTGCTCTGCTGTCTTATGTGCGTGCAACACCATCCGATAACCAGTCAATGCTGACTTTTATTTTTCACACTAACAAACTATTTCACTCTTTCATACTAAAAACTTTGCCATGGAATTTAATAACATGATACTTTCCATGCTCTTTCTCTTACTCATGCTCCATCATACTATATAAATATCGATATTAACCAAACACCACACGCAGATCCACAAAAATTAAACCTGCTTTCCCTTTTCTTCTCATCCTAGCTATAACTACAACAAACCCATCTTATACTATCTGCTTCCATCAGAATCATATACCTTAATTTCGTAATGGTTAACCCACACAGAAACCAGTACCTTGCAACGACTCTGCTACTTTCTCTGCTGATTTTGTTGATATCTTCTTCATCGTCTGCTAGACCCTTGAATGATTTCAGCCAGCTCTCAGCCACCTCCAACCTTGAACTTCCAAGCGACAGGGTGGTTATGATGCCGGAGAAGAAAGGACACGTGTGCGGTGGAAAAGTAAACAGGCCATTGATCCTGAACATGCTTCCTAAGGGAACTGTTCCTCCATCTGCACCAAGCAAAAGACACAACAACATCAACAACTAGCTACCTTGCTTCCTATTCCTCAACTGCAAAATTCAACAAATTGGGCTGGATCTTCTCACTCTATTATTTAATTTTTTTCTGTCATGTTTTTTTCTTCTTCAATATTATTCCTTTTGTAAATATATATTTTATATCAAATATCATACATTTATACATAATGATGCTTTTTTAGTATCTAGATACAATTCTATGGCGGTGTTTTTGCAGTTGTAATGAAATTTTGTGTAGTCATGGTTTTTCACCTGTGATTTTTTTCTTTATATTAAAACGATGAGTAACGATATTGACACTTATAGATATCATTTTTGTCGCAAGCATAAACTAGACGTTTTGGATTAGGAGTGTTGCTACTACTACAAAATAATTCTATGTTTCCAACATACAGTTCATCGGTTAAAAGAATTGGAGGTGATGGTTTCGTATCTTTAAGATGGATTTGTTTGATATTCCTCTTTTGTTTAGGAGTTTACATGGTACTAGGCTTATGGTGGGGTGGCGAGTTGCCCGGATAGGACTCTTATAATGGATGGCCGGTGGGAGTTGTGGAGACTACGTCTCAATGAACTTTGTCTAGAGATGTGTCAGATTATTATCTTATTATTTTCGGATACTCTAATCGATTGTGGGATTCAAAGCCTTTCTGTTTCAATAATAGTTGGTTTTTTCATCCCAAGTTCCCTTAGGTGGTGTTTAGTAGTTGGTTTAGTTCTCACTTTTCTAGTTGGAAAGTGATTGTTCTCAAAGAGAAGCTCAAAGCTCTCAAAGATGCTTTGAAATCTTCGAATCATCAAGTTTTCGATACCTTTGATTTCTAAAGTGCTTCCTTAAAGGAGGAGATGAGCTCTAGGAAATTGATTCTAGGAAGAAGGTTATCTTAGATCTCTAGTCCTTGCTTCGGAATAAAGATGTTCTAGGAAATTTATAGTAGGTAGAAGTGCTTGCTTTCATGCTTGTTTTAAGAATAGGTTTATAAGAAATGCAATTTTAGCTCTTAAGATTGTTGATGCGTGAGGGGAGAGGTGTCTAAGATTTTCCAAGAGGTGATTAATTATTTTTCTAATCATTTTAGAGAACCTCTCCTTGATCGACCTAGGTTGGATGAGTTTTTTTTCCCATCTATCTCAAAGGAGGAATATGTTAGTCTTAACGCCCTTTTTCTCCATTCTGAGATTGATCGGGCCATTGCTTTGTGTTGTGGGAATAAGAGCCCTAACCCAGATGGGTTCAATCTCTCATTTATGGGGAGGTTTTGATCTTTTTAGGGATGATATAAGGACTATGTTTGACCAATTCCATCAGTTTGCTTCTCTTCTTCGTGGCTTTTCCTCTTTGCTTGTGATCTTGATCCCTAAGTATGATTCTTCTTCTTAGAGAGGAGACTTTTGGCCTATTTCTTTGGTAGGTCGTTTTATAAGCTCTTAGCTAAAGTTTTGGTGGGGAGGCTTTCTTGTGTTATTGATAAGCTTATCTCTTTGAACCATTCAGCCTTCATTAAGGGTAGACTTATAGTTGAAGGGATAGTTGTTGTGAATGAGTTGGTGGACCTAGCTAAGAAGAGTAAAAAGTCTTGTTTGATTTTTAAAGTGGATTTTTAGAAAGCTTATGACTCGCTAAGTTGGTCCTTTTTGGATTATATGCTCTCTATATTTGATTTTAATGACAGGTAGAGTTGGATTCGTGCTTATGTTTTTTTGGTAGTCTTGATGTCTTAGATAATGGTTGCCCGACCTAAGAAATAAGCATCTAAAGGGGGTTGAAGCACAGTGATCTTCTGACTCGCTTCCTTTTTCTCTTAGTAATTGAAGTTCTAAGTGGGTTGTTCTCTAGGGTTGTAGATCAACAACCTTTCTCTAGTCTCCGAGTGGGTTCTTGAGATTTGGTGATCTCTCATCTTCAGTATGCAAATGACATGATTATTATGGTGAATGCCTCCTTTAAAAACCTCTAATCCATCAAGGCTATCCTCCGAGTGTTTGAGATATCCTCATGGTTTCAGGTGAATTTTTCCAAGAGTAATCTCATTGAGGTGAATTCCAATCCTGATTTCCTTAACCTAACTTGTGATTTCCTTCACTCTCAACAAGGATCTCTCTCGTTTAAGTATTTGGGTCCCCTGGTCGGGGCAGATCCATGTTTGTCTTCTACATGGGAACTCTTAGTTAGTATCCTCACTAGGCGACTTCACTCGTTAAGGCATATGTATGTGTCCCTAGAAGAGCGTGTGATTCTTTTTAATTTTATTATTAATGTAATTCATATTTTTTGTCTTTGTTAAAGATTCTTCTTAAGGTTTGGAACAAAACTGTGAACATTCAAAGGATGTTTGTGTGGGATGGTGTTAGAGGGAGGTCCAAGATCATTTGGATTCTATCTTAGGAGTTAGAGTTTTCTACACCCGCTTTGTATCTCTTTGTTGGAGAGAGGTGTGCATTCTCGGTGCTATAGAGGAGGATCCCTCAGACGGGTTTCAGAATAGTATGGTTAAGAAAGTTGGGCCTGGTATTCTCACTATGTTTTTTAGTGACCCTTGGGTTGGGGATATTCCTATTAACTAGAGATAGGTTCCCTTAGCTTTTTTCTACCTTTGAACAAAAGGATTTTTTAGTGGAAGAAGTAAGTAAATAGGAGGGACATGCTTTTGTTTGGGATCTTAAGTGGAGAAGAGTTCGTTTTTTTAGCATTAGCATGTTTTGATATCTAATCTTATCTTAGTAGTCATGAAATTTATCCTTTCCTCATAGGCCAATAAGTGGTGGTGGAGCCACTCTTTAAGATGGTTCTTATTATATGCCTTCTGTGTATTCTTCTCTTTTGTGAGATTCCTAGAGATCTTCAAGTCTCGTTAGTTGAATGAGTTCTTTCTAGTATCTAGAGTAGTTGGGCCCCCTCTAAAGTAATTGTTTTCTCTTGGAAACTCCTGCAAAATAGGATTCCTACCAAATAGAATTTACTCAATATAGAGATCTACATTAGCTTAGTAGGTGTCTGTTGCCCATTTTCCTCGAGGTTTCTAGAGTCGTCCTCTTTATTGTTTGTGACTTGTGATGTAGTGGTGTCTGTCTAGTATATGATTTTCAGTTGGTTGAGGCAGTATATATTTTTACCCAAGAATTCCTTGACCCTTTCTAAATGTTTTCCCTCTTGATGGCTCGTATAGGCTTAAGGGGCATCTTATGATTTGGCATGTTATGGTTTAGTCTATTTGAAAATCTCGAAATGAAACTCTTGTTCTCAAGTAAATTGGTGTCAACGAAGGACATGAAAGATATGAGTGTCCTTTTAGCTCTGAAATGGTATCTTGGTAGGTCTGTGGGAAACTCGTGTTCTTTCTTGGCTTGCCTCGATAATCCTATATGTGATATGAACCAATAACAACATGAATGTCTTTAACTTTTTTTAGGTGTGTTCTTGCTGCTCAGTGGAAATTGGTGTCATTTCTCACAAGTCTTTTGTAACACCCCCTTTTATACCCCAAATAAATGCATATAAAACAATTAAGCACATACAAATTATCAGAGTAAAAAGGTTTTATAATAAGGTATAAAAGAAGAATGCCACAATTTCACCAATAAACCACTTCTACTATTTGCTCCATAAAATATGTAACATTTTCAATTTAAGCGGAAGATAAAATCATTTGATCGTTTTTCAAAATATTAATTCAAATGCACATAAATCATCCAGATTAATACATCATATCAGTTAGATTACAAAACCACATCAGCTGATACATCACAATGTATCACAAAAGAATGACTATACTAGTCTAACTACCCGGTGTTACATATCAGAGCAGCAGACTCAAAAGAATGAAGACTAACTTCACGAAAGGACTCCAGCATCCTAATCTGCAATGCCTCATAGAGCATTATAAAACAGCAGAAGGGTGAGAAATATAACCATAATAATCAAAGCATGAGATTATATATATATAGGTAGTCATATAGCACATATTCACATTTCTCACCACACTTCGTTCTCATAGTCATAAATCATATCACGTTCATATATATATCAACATTATGAACATTCACAAGCACATCCCTTCATGCTTAATTTCACAATCATTCACAAGCACATTTGTACAACAACAATATTATGCAATGTGACTCAACATATTCAATGCAATTCAATGCTATGCGGTACCGACTCTCGTTATCTTTTTTCGGTTTTCACTCTAAACCGGGTCCACCCTTCTAGACCGATAACTCGTTATCATTTTTCGGTTTTTACTTTAAACCGGGTCCACCCTTCTAGACCGATAACAACCAAGCCCGTCCCCTAGGCTTCAAACCCACCCTTCTAGGTTTGGGACAAGCCACTAGTTTCCACGAAACTAACGGACATTGCCTCTTGACTGAATGATGCATGTACAATCAACCAATCACAATAAATGCACTTAAGACCGTTCCCGCGTCTTAATCCCATGCATTCGAATAATTCACCCCTTCGAGAATTTCATCATGATTGCACATACAACATATATCAAACATTTATCAATGTATTCAGTTCACACATCATCATATTCAACAACAATGCACACATATCACATATGTTCCCATGCATTCATACAACAATCGCATACATATATGCACTCACAATTCATTAGACGATACACATACATTCCTCATTGTATTCCCATGTATCTCTAATTATCACAACAATCAAGGTATTCACATCGCAATACCAATCATACAATTATAAGTTATGCACACATATAAAAATGTTCTCATGCATACTCATTACGTAATTATACACAACAATCAAACATTCACAACTCATCAATTAATACACACATAATCATCATTATGTTCTCATGTATTTTAACCGATTACAATTAATCATTCATATCACAACTCTAGGATTCACGCCCGTAGGCTACCCACAGCACACATTATCACAACAGGTCATATCTATATTCATATCATAAGGTATCCACCTATGTGAAACAACCAAACTATCTTCACATGATCAACACCGCAAAAGAGAAATGCTGTCAA